CGGGAGAAAGATGAGGCTTTCTACTCCCGTAAAGATTTACACCCTCGGAAACTCTTTATAGGGTCACTATGAGTCGGAACCGACTCAACGGCACTTAACAACAACAACAATGCTCATCTTAAAGGAAGCTTGTTTCCTGTAAAAAGAGATCACAGTAAGGGTCAGTGGTTGTTCTTGAAGCCAACACATAGCTGAGTTAGCATAAACCTAAGTGTGTCAACCTCCAGCTGAAGAACTGAACTGTTTTTTTCAGGAGCATCAGTTCTACTGTTTATGTGTCAAACCTGGTATTTCAGTAAGGCTGGTGAACAGAAGGTGGTTACTGATGCTTTTTTGGCATTCCCGTGGTGCTCCTGCGTGAGAGGAATCATCGGTTGCATCCTGGTTGCTCTGAACAGTCAACCTGTGTTTTGTTGCCATGGGGCCTGGGAGATGAGAATCAGAAGTGATGAAGCCCAAAGGTGTTTTTATTCATAATAATGCTTTTCCATATTGCATATGAATTTTACTTGTAGAGAAATGTTGGGTTGTCTGCATCCATTTAGTGTGAGATGTTTGTGTTGCAGAATAGAAATCCTTTTGTGGTTTATCCTCTTAATGCGTAACACTTAAGAGTTTAAGAATCTCCGGGCCAAGTAAAGCATTACTAGATCAATACTGCCAGCTGGGGGTGGGGGGTGAGAGTTAGCTGTGCTTTGGAAGACGTCTACTGTGGACACGAACGTCATTTAAAGTCTAGAAAACGGCCTCCAATAAAAGTCAAAACAGTTGAAATGTACTTTTAAAAAACATAAATTCTAGCCTTGGCGGGAATACTTGATCTTTTAGTCTCTCTTGTAAAGAGCAGTAGCGCAATAAAGGGAGCATTGCCCCCTGCACAGTGAAAGCCATGCTCTCGGACAGGGAGAGAGGCAGAATCTCTTAATCATCCCCTTAGAGTCCCAAGCAAACACTTCTGTGTTCTTAGGAAAAGTTGACCATTGAATATAAGGTAAAATACGTAACTGTTCTTCTCAATAGGCTGATTCCCAAGAATTCTTAAGAAGGAATAGAAAGTCCAAAAGCAGTTACCATAGTGAAAAACGTTTCTATTTTTTATTAAGAACCTAGTTATAAATGGTTTTATTTAAATAATTGTATGCACAAAGGAAAAATGGGTATGAAGGTATCTCAAACAGATCTCTGCAGGGTCATTACTGTTGTTTGTTAAGTGCAGTGAGTTGCTTCTAACTCATAGCCACCCTGTATAGGCTTTCCAAGGAGCAGCTGGTGAGTTTGAACTGCTGACCATGTGTTTCGCAGTCCAGTGTTTATCTTAAAGTAACATACCAGGAGTCCACAAGAGCAAGGAAGCCTTTATCTAAGATACCAACATATGAAGCTGTTGTTTCTCAACATACTCCACTTAGGTCGTACACTTCTATATTTCTATCTCTCCACCCCTTTCCCTAAGAATTCTGTGCTCTTCTTTTTATACCACATCAAACAGTAATTTTGGAATACTCAAGGGGCTCAAACCATGTTCCTTTTCAGTGTTCTTTGAGTTTGCGGAACAAAGAGAAGCCTGAAGGAGCAGGAGCAGGGCTGTAGGGTGAATGGAGTAAGGTAACAAAATCCTGATAGGACATGGTTTGCTATCCTCCAAGAACCAGAAGTACGTTACTGAGATGGAAAACAAGGCCTCAACCAAACATTACTCACCTTTTTCTCATGAGTGCCGTTTCATTAAAACTTCTTCCCAGGAAGGCCCCATGATTGCCCTGTGTCCTTCAAGAAATCTTTCAAGATTACTCCTTAGGGATCACGAAAACCATTTGCTATAACCTTGTAACCACTCTGACTTGAATGTAACTGACTAGCAGATCCCTTTAAAAGTCATTGTTTTGATGGATTTTTTTTAAAGGCACCCTAATAAAATTAACACATGTGTATTAGTGTATTCCTGAGATACCTCATCTACAGCCATCCACTGACCACAGAGGCAAGTTTAAACACATTATGTTTGGAATGACCCCATGCATGTATGAACTGGAAACCAAGTAGCATTACTTTTTGACCTCCCCTTGTATTTTGTATTGGTACTTCGTTTAGACATTTACATGGGGCATTTAAAAATACATGAAACTAGAAGTCGGGACTGAGCGTGGATGGTATCTAACAACAGCAAGTCTTCATGGTTAATCTAGGCCAGAACTTCCCAACCTGCGGCCTGATCATTAATTCCTTCTTGTGGAGGCTGTTTTATGCATTGTAGATTGTTTAGCAGCATTCCAGGGCTCATACTAATTGGATATCAATAGGATACCCCTTCTGTGATAAGCAAAAATGTCTTCAGGCATTGCCAAATGTCCCCTGGGAGGCAAAATCACCCTTACTTAAGAACTAGTGGTCCAGGCTAGGAAATGTAGCCAATGCCTGAACAGATTCCCTCTTGATAGTATCTACAGCATGGTTTTTCCTAACTTTAATTGGTAGCGTGAGCAAAGAGCTTGAAACATAGCCTCTATTCTTAATAGCATCTGGTTTTTAGAACAGGCAAGGTTGGTTTTCATATTTTGAAAAATATGTGTAGACAAAGTTTTCTCCAAAGTTTCCTTTAAAAATGTATTTTTGTTTATTTCATGCCAATTTATTCTTTTTTTTTTTAATCCCATTCATGTAACTACAGTTAGCCCACTTCCCCTCTGTGGTTCCTATTTGCGTTCCATCCACACCAACATTTTTTTTAAATTTAAGATTACAAAGCAAAATTCGTATGAGAGTGATTACAAACTTGTCATTCTTAGCTTAGTGACAGCCAAGAAAGTGTTACTGGAAAAAATGCTTCAGAATTCTTTCTGCAAGGTTTTAATACTGTTTCTTTCTCCTGTTGTTGTTGTTGTTAAGTGCCGTCGAGTCGGTTCCGACCCATAGCGACCCTGTACAGGGTTTCCGAGGGTGTAAATCCTTACGGGAGTAGAAAGCCTCATCTTTCTCCCGCGGAGCGGCTGGTAGTTTCGAACCGCTGACCTTAAGGTTCGCAGCCCGATTCGTAACCACTACGCTGTAAGAACCTTAAAGTTAAGAGTTAGAAAGACCCTCAGAGATTTGTCCTACTCCAGGCTATCACTTTTCAGATGAGGACACTGGTTTAGTCAGGTGGACTGAGTTATCTAAGGTTTATAAAAGGTAGCTAAAGTTGGGGAACGAGAAGCAAATCTCCCATACAGATAAATTCAAATTAGTTGTGTAGGTAAACCGTTCCCAGGGAGGGGAATGGCATTGTGCTTAGTGATTTTCTTCCACAGAGTACACTGTGGCAAGAAGAGTTCCTACATAAGAGGCAACCCTATAAATACCACCTTCATCAGGTGATTCAGGTTAACATCCACAGTGATGTCATGTTGATGGGATGAGAGTGGCACTTCAGTGGTGTGGTCTTCTTCCCCCAAACACGTGTCCTTACTCTAATCATGAGAAGAACAGCAAACAAATCCCAACGGAGAGACGTTCTACAAAATGCCTGGCCAGAACTATGCCGAACTGGCACATCACCCAAAACGTCAGAAAGTCTGAGAAACAGCCACAGCCCAGAGGATGCTAAGGAGATGTCATAAGTGAATAGAATGTGGTGTCCTCGATGGAAGCCTGAAACAGGAAAAGGGTACTAGGTAAAAAGTAAGGAAATCCAATCAGATGTAACACTTAGTGAAGTGCCGTCAAGTTCGTTCCGACCTACAGCAACCCTGTGTAGGGGTTTCAAGCAGCAACTAGTGGGTTTAAGCCACTCGGCTTGTGGTTAGCAGTCCAGTGCGTATCCTACAGTGCCACATCAGGAAGTTTGGTGAATAGTAACATATGTACCATTGCAGTGTAAGATATTAACTACAGTGGAAAGTGGCCTTGAGGTATACAGGAACTCTGTACTATCTTTGTAACTTGTTTGAAATCTAAAATTATTCTTAAAAAAAAAAAAAAAAAAGGAAAACAAAAAATTGTGGCACAGTCTTCTGGCTGTCATTCCCCAAGTCCTTACCGGTCACCACATATGTGTGGTATTGAGAAGAACTCCTTAAGGGCCCAGCACCCTTACAAATAAATGAGTTAGTGGTGTGTTTGAAAGAACCTGTCCTTCACATTTTCATGCCTCCAGTTCTTTTTCTTATAATACTTTCTACATTCACAGCAGAGAGTGAGGAAGAAGATGAAGTTGAAATGGAAGTTGAAGACCAGGATAGTAAAGAAGCCAAAAAACCAAACATCATAAATTTTGATACCAGCCTGCCAACATCCCATACCGTATGTAATTTAGTTAGACGTCTAAATGTGATAAGAGTACATTCAGCTATTTGACACAAATTTCTGCAAACACGTGACGACATTTTAAAAGTCATAATACAATGCCCCTGGGGATAACTCTTTGAGAAATTATTCTATGGTTAGGTTTTTTTTATTTGTTTACTAAATTAATTAATTTAGTGATTAATTTGCACAAGTATTTTTTGTTCTTTGCTATTAGCAGTTGGTTGGTTATGTGTCGAGGAGTCGGTTCTGACTCATAACGACCCTGTACAGGGTGTCCGAGGCTGCAAATGTTTACGGGAGCAGAAAGCCTCATCTTTCTCCTTTGTAACAGCTGGTAGTTTCTAACTGCTGACCTTGCGGTTTGCTACCAGAGCTCAGCTCCAGGGTGTTACTTGATGCGCTGCCTTTTTTTTTTTTTTTTTGCACTTCCATTTTATACTTCACATTTATGATATATGGACATAGAGTTTAGTCAAAGTATATTCAACTTGAAGGTAGGTAATTGTGTAAGAGAGTCTTCATAATGCTTTTTGCAGCTAAGATTCAGAATTAAATATTTGTGTGGGGTGCTTGTGTACTGAGTTTATCACTTTCCTCCATTTTTAGTCTTTTCGTGTGATTTGCTCAGTAGTTTATGGAACTTCAGTTTGTAATACTCCCTGTCATGACAGTGCCCATATGCGTGTTCTTTAATAGTACCTGGGCGCGGATATGGAAGAGTTTCACGGCAGAACTCTGCACGATGAGGACAGTTGCCAGGTGATTCCAGTCCTGCCCCAGGTGGTGATGATCCTGATTCCTGGGCAGACATTACCGCTTCAGCTTCTCCGGCCTCAGGAGGTCAGCATGGTGCGGAATTTAATTCAGAAAGACAGAACCTTTGCAGTTCTTGCATACAGGTAATATAATAAATTTGCTAAACACAGTCCCTCTCCTGTGTCATCAAAAGAAGAGGCCAGTGTTGAAGCTAAAGCCCACCAGTACTCTGTTCAAGAGGTTAGAGGACAGACCAATTAGCTAATAATATGTGATAACACATTTTGTTGACAAAAAGTTTGAAAGTGCAGTATGGAGCTTTTGTTATTTTCATTACCATCTAAATCAGATAATTATATCACACAATTGAACTTCCTGGGATTTGAGATTTTTAAATCATTTCTGTATAATGTTAACCTTTCTAAAATCTTATTTTCAGGAACTGTCTTTAAAAAGAAAAAGGGTATTTACATTTTAATGTATAAAGGATTAATTTTCCAACAAGAGTGGCTTATTCTTTCTCTGTTTGTTAAAAGTTATAACTTGTACTGCTAACTGACCAGTGGTACATTGAAACTAAACTTCAAGTATCTGCTGGCAAATGGAGGAAATCATCCGTCAGGGAGCCTTTCCCACCAGGGCAGTACTACTCGAGTCACCAGAAATGAAGATTTCGTAGGAGAAAGAATGTTTGGTGAGGGAAGTCAGAGTTTGAACCCCTTTTAGTTCTAGATGATTTCTGGTGACTAGAAATCTTCTTATTTTCCTGCTGTGCTCTGAATATGTTTCCTGAAGCCTTACTATATGCATAGTCCTCCTTGTGGTTTAAAAATTAGCAGATTGTTTTGCAATAAGGGCAGATTGCTATACATTGTTTTTCTGTATGAATTGCTTTTCAGCCTTGAATATCTTGAAGTCACATTTTCAAAACTTTTTCTTCTAAAAATCTGCCTTTGCAGTAATATACAGGAAAGGGAAGCACAGTTTGGCACAACAGCAGAGATATATGCCTATCGAGAAGAACAAGATTTTGGGATTGAGATAGTGAAAGTGAAAGCAATCGGAAGACAAAGGTTCAAAGTCCTTGAGCTAAGGACACAGTCAGATGGGTAAGAAATGAATTGTATGTTAAAGTTGTTTGAATATATTATGACTTTTTATTATGTCTGTTAAACTTTAAACATTTTTTTTTTAACTTTTAGTTAGTGTTTCTCTTTCCTTTGAAGGCATAGCTCAGTGGTTACCAACCTTGCTGTACATTAAAATCACCTGTGAAGTTGTTAAAACTGTAGAAGCTGGTGTTTCAACCTCCCCTCCCATGTGCAGAAAGTGTGTTACTCTTACATGAGGCTGCAGAGTCTCCTTTAACATGATTTCCAGGTGATTCTAATGCCCAGCCATGTTTGAGATGAGTGGTGGTACCCCAGAGAGAAGCATCCTTTGGATCAGGACCTCCCTTTAGAGCACAGGGGTGGAGGGTGGGAGACCAGCTTCTGCTGGCTCAGCAGGCAGCTGGCGTTTGTGGCATTTCCTGTGACATTCGGGAGCCCTGTTGATTCTAGCTGCCAAGTGTGCCTTTTATGTTTCCGTCTTCAGTGTGCATGTTTATCACTCAAACGTGCTGTGTACTTAGTAACTCCTCACAATTTAAAGAGACATTGATGGAGAGCAGTAATTTATTTTGGCATGGCTATCATGGTTGGGGGTGTTTATGAGTTCAAGGAAGGCTTTTCTCATTTTTGTGGGTTTTTTCATTATTTTTTCTTTTAATCTAGTTCACCGTACTATATCCTCTTTTAAAAAGTAAAAATTAAAACCAAGCATTTTTCCTGATCATGCATGTGATCTCTTCAGGCTGTGGTTCTCAGCTCTGGTGCATAGGAATCACCTGTGAAGTCTGGTAAAGACCGAAATTCTTTGGTTCCACTCCAGTCCTAGTGAACTAGTCTCTGTTCTGTAGCCAAAGTTGAAAATCTCTTCAGACCTCTGTGTTGCACAGGTAATATTTTCTGAACACATGCAAATTCAGAGCTTTTTGTAAAATAGAATAGGAGCTGCAGGAAGGCAAGAGTACTGTGTGTTTGGTTAACATAGTGAGCACTCATAAACACTACAGAATTAGTGAAAATATAGCTGAATCCAGCAGCCTTTGGGTGCTAGAGAGAGCGTAGAGGTATGTGGTGTGGTTGCCAGAGTCCTTGAGGGTTGTAGTTCTTCCTTCCCTGGAGCCTCCCAGAATGTTCCTGGTGCTAGTCTGCAAGTACTCTTCTCATTCTGCTGCCACTCTCGGCTTGATGTATGTCTCTTCCCTCCACTGATACGCTGCTTGAGAACAATGATGGCAGTTTAGTTACTGTATTTTATGCAAAGAACGCACGTGCACACATTGTGGCAGAACTCTTGCGCATTAGGTTCCTATGTGCTCTGTGCACATTTTATGTGTGTGCTTGTTAGTTATGTAGCTGCTTTATTTGTGAAGAATACAGTCTGTGTCCATTTAGGTCACTAGATAATACGTGACTACGTGACCATGACTCCCTGAGGGTTCTGCGTTGTTTTGGTAGCAGTTCCATATCAAGTACTTCCTATCTTTATGGTTACCGAAGTTTGATTGTTTGTGAAATGATTTTCCAAAAAACATAAAGGAAAATTGATTTGTGGAAAGCATATTTCTCAAACTGTCTTAACACCATTGACTATTAGTGATGGAAAACCTGAACACAAGATGGCAGTAGACCATTAACTCAGAGAACAGCAGGTCAAGGCAAACATCAGATTTGACTTTAGTAAATATAGTCATCAAACCAGTAGGGCTGGGAAAAGACTTGGAAAGTGCACATTCTTCTTAGGACTCCCTCAGTCTGTTATTAGGACAAGTCACAGAAGGGAGTCTGTCTGAATTTAGAAGTCTTCCTAGAATGACATTTCTTCAGCTGCTGCCACTCTCATAACCACTTTCACTGGAAACGGTGAGATGAAGGCAGTTGGAGGCAGTATTGTGGAGTCTCCTTTTCCAAACGAGTAAACAAGCATTAGAGAGCTTCAGTGGTTAGTCTGAAGTCACACAGACAGTAAGCAGCAGAGGCGGTAGATTCTAGGTCTCTGACTCCCAATCTAGTGCTCTTTCCTCTGTCCCAGAACTCTCCTAGAGCTCATTTGAAACTCAAGCCTGTTTGCTTTTCTCCAGTAAGGCATTTGTTTTCAACATAAATACCCTTTGTATATATAACAAAAAAAAAAATCTTCTAACTGTGCCTGAGTTAAAAGTTTTTATTTGGTATCTTTTGAATACCTGGAAATTAATTTTGTTTTAAAGTTATCATTGAAATTTAGTAGAAGTCTTCTAAAATTCTCTAATATTTCTTAACATGTATAGAGGAGGAGGAGAGTAGTACTGTATTTGGAATAACAAGAGAAGTCCTCTGTCATAATTGAGACCAGTTGTCCGTCCAAAAAAGTTAATTAAAGCTGGAAATAGTAAAAATATATACATATATCCTTTAAACCTTTTATTTTTATTTAAAATGTGTAAAGGTACATTTGCTTCCTTTTGATTTGATAGCGAGACAAGGTCTTATCTCTGAATTGGTTCAGCACATTGGATTTGGCAGTAACTAGTCTTTCTGGTATAAACCACCTACATAACCATAATCACAAAAGTAACTGCCAAATTAGGAGTAAACAAAACTAACTGACTTTAAGAGCAAAACTCAGCTGCTGGAGCAAGAACCAGCCTTGTGTGTATATCACAGCCGCTGGGTGGGTTTAGTAGAGGCGACACGAACGTGACTTCATTCTGTAAGGCAGTCCATACTGCCTGACTGTAGACCAGGGACCCAAACTGTCTATATGCTGAAGTCTTAGATCCCAGCCTTCATCTCAATACCTCTCATGTTAGTGCTTGTGTCAGAATAAAATTACAATTCTAGCTACCAGTTGTAATTTCTAACTTGCTTATAGATAACCTGGAAGAAGAATAAGAAATATAAAGATGTTTATAGGATGGTTTTGTGCTTTAAAAATATGATTTGAAAGTATCTGTATTCCTGTATCAGGTGAGGAAAATTGAGATTTCATTTTTAATGAACTCTAGAAATACAAGAATATTTGAACAGAGTTGATTTTTTAAATCATTTTTGTAAGTTATGTAGATAACACATTTTCTAAATGTTTTTAATGAGCTTGCCAGACGGAAATGTAGTGTAGTGACTCTAGTATTGTGGTTAAATTAAAGCTAGATATTTTCAGACACACTGAGCTGTTTCATTTAATAAATAGAAAATCCGGAACCCCATTCATGACTGGTTGCTGTGAAAGACCACTGTTGTTGTTACGTGCCTTCAAGTTGTTTGGTTCCGACCCATAGCAACCGTATTTAGGGTTTCCAAGGAGTGACTGGTGAGCATGAACTGCCAACCTTGTGGTTCAAACCGACTTTGTAGCCTAGTCCGTTAACCCACATCGCCACAACAGATCTCCAAAGTCCACTCTGAAAGACTTTAATGAATCATGAAGCAAAGACTTTTGACTTACCTGACCCTGTCATTCTGGCACTGTTGTTCAGCATTTGTATGTACTGTTACACTCTACATTTCAAAAGTGACTTTCTAAGAGGCATAATGCTTCCAGAAAACAGCTCACAGGTAAAATCTGGTTTTTGGCTTTAGTTTACAACAATGTTTTTGCAGTTATGGTATTCTTAATAAGCATGTAGTTTAAATACTTGTAGATTAAAAACAAAATAAGATGCATGTTTGCGTTCTTGGCATGTTCACATTGATTTTAGGATGAAAAAAAGAATGCTAGCAGAAATGAAGTCTACGTATAATCCTCTTTCTAATCTCATTTTAACTCACCCCTGTGAATGGGAACTTGATTTTCTCTTCTATTTAAGTTGGATGACTTAGAGAAAGGATAGGTGCAAGAGTCAGAGATGGGAGTCGTGGATTTTTAAAGAATTTACAAGTACATTTAAAGTGTGAATTTAATCAGTAGTTGATTTTATAAAACTTGGTTTCATTTATACACTCTTAGTATTTATCTGAATTGTTAAAACCTCCCTTTCCACATCAATGAGATTGAAACTCGGTACTTTAGGTTATGTTTGGTTTTAACTTAGTATGATTTATAAAATACAGTGTTTTCTAACATGCTTCAATATCTTAACACACTCAATTAATATGTTTAGAAAGAAACCTTGAAAATCCTAGTATTTAAAATTCTCCTCATTATTTAGAAACTTACATTTTGAGTTAGTATATCTTAAAAATGAACACTGTGCTTTGTTCTTTTTATTTTAGAATCCAGCAAGCTAAAGTGCAAATTCTTCCCGAATGTGTGTTGCCTTCGACCATGTCTGCAGTTCAGTTAGAATCACTCAATAAGTGTCAGATATTTCCTTCAAAACCTGTCTCCTGGGAAGACCAGTATTCATATAAATGGTGGCAGAAATACCAGAAGGTGAGAAACTAATTTTTTATGAATCTTCAAAAAATAAAGGCAGGTTGGTTTTTTCCTGTTGTAAGAATGACACATAAACAAGTCTCATGATTCATTCCCAGACACCTTCGGTGGCAGCTCTCCAGCTGAGATTGATCATAGTTAGAGCTGCTCAAAATTTCTTAAGCAGCTATTTTTGCATAACAAAATTTGCATTTGTAGAGAAATGTCAAACCAGCTATGAGGTATTTTTGCTGTTATGTTTTTTAACTTATTTTTCAGTTAGTCTGAGATTTTTAATGCCATAAGAATCTCTTTTTAGATCAGATTTTTGGTTCTTTAGCCATACACACATTAAAGAAACGTCTAAGTTTGGGGCAGCACAGAGGAATAGTAGAACTTGTTTATTTTCTTCCAGAATTGTGATAGACGTACTTTTCAGTTATTGTTTAGTAAAACACTGTTCACATCACAAAGATTGGCTTGAGATATTTTTGTAGTTTGTTGCTGCATTGTTGGCTCCATCTGATGGCAATGGTATGTACAGCTGAACCGAGGCAGGGATCAGCCTCACAGGTTTTGGTATGTTGGAGGCTGTATTTGCAACTGTTGTGGTATCATTCCTTTTCATTCATTTGGCTTCCCTCATTTTCCTTTGCCCTGTGGTACCAATCATGTGTGCTGTTGTAGTCATTGATCCCTCTCGTGGGATTGCCACGGTAAAGCGAGACAAAAATCTTGCCATCCTCTCTTTAAGGGGCATTATGGTTATACTTCTTCCAAGACGGTTTTGCTCATTTTCCCGTGGTGTATGTAGTATTATTCGATTAACACCACAGTTCAAGGGCTTCAGTTCTTTGATCTTCACTTTGCAAAATTTTAATTGTCTAGCTTTCGCATGCAGATAAGATGATTAAAAAGATCATGGCTTGACTCAGGTACACTTTAAAAACAGGTCTTTTATAGCAGATTTGCCCGGTGCAGCACTCTTTCCATGGGCATTCACTTTTGACCCAAGTAGAATGAAATCTTTGACATCTGTTGTGTTCTTTTTATTTATCAGGATGTTGTTTATTGATCCAGTTGTAAGGATTTTGTTTTCCTCATGCTGAGGTGTAATCCTACAGCAGGCTGTAGCCTTAGATCTGTATCAGTAAGTGCTTCACGTCCTCTTCACTCAGCTGCAGGGCTGTATCATCTGTGTTAATGAATCTCCTTCCGATCCTCATGCTGAAATAATTCTTCTAGTCCAGCTTTTTGGATTATTAGTTCAGCATACCAGTCAAATAGTGTGGAGAAAGGATACAACTCTGGTGCACACTTGTCCAGATGTTAAGCCATGCAGTATCCCTTAATTCTAGCTGAATGATTGTCACTTAGTGTATGTATTGATTCCACAAGAGCATAGTTGTTCTGGAATTCCAACGATTTGCATTGTTACTCTGATTTGTTATGATCCTCACAGTTAATGCCTTTGCATACTCAGTAAAGCATAGATAAGCATTTTTCTGGTAGACCCTGCATTCAGGCAAGATCCATCTGACATCAGCAATGATTTACCTCATTTCCTGTCCTTTTCTGAATCCAGCTGGAATAATCTGGAATTATTCTGTCAGTGTACAGCTATGTGGTTGTTAACTCAAGCCATGTTGGGTATGATTGATAGCAACCCTCTGTAGGGTTTCTAAGGTGCACCTGGTGGGTATGAACCATCGACCTTTTACTAGCTTTTGATATTAATGACATTATTTGGTAATTTTCATATTGTTTGATTTCCTTGGAATGGGCACAAATACATATCTCTTCCAGTCAGTTGCAGGTAAGCTGTTTCCCATGTTTTTGACATAGATGAGTAAGGAGTAAGCACTTCCCCTGTTGCATTTTGATTGAAGCTAGTTTCCCACCAACGTGTGTTGCTGTTAGGTGCCATCAAGTCGATTGCGACTCACAGCCACCCTGTGTGGGGTTTCTGAGGAACAGCCTGTGAGCTTCAGTCGCCAGCCGTGCAGTTCAAATGGCTTTGCAGTCTGGCGCATTAACCCACAGTGCCACACCAGAGCCTTGTTTTATGCCAGTGTCTTCAGCACAGATTGGATTTCTTCCTTTGGTACCATTGGTTCTTCATCATATGCCAACTCCTAAAATAGTTTAAAATGAAGCAAGTTCTTTTTGGTACTGTGATTGTATTCCTTCCATCTTCTTTTGGTGCTTTCTGTATCTTACCACTCAGTTTTTTATTCAATGAAATCCTTCATTATTACAATTCAAGGCTTGGATTTTCTCTTTAGTTCTTCTGACTTTGAGAAATGCTCATCATCATATTTTTCCCTTTTGACTTTCTAACTCTACTAAGTTCTTCACATTGGAAAGCAAAAGTTGGTTTAAGATTAAGTGTTCTTTAGAAGTATTTTTGTTTTGGCTTTTTTTTTTTTCGGTTTGAATCTCAAGGTTGATGGTTCAAGTTCACCAGCTGCTCCTTGGGAACCGTAGGCATTGATTCTTAAATTCTTTTAAGCTAGATCATTCTTTTAGGGGGAAAAAAAAAAAATTGATGAAGCCTATTTCTTCTACCCATCAGTGAGTGGTATAGTGAATATGTATGATTTCTGCCTGAAGAAAAAGATTAATTTCTAATTTATAATAAATTGACATTTTGAGGTTTATCTATTAAAAGTGTGTAAAGACAACTTTCATTATAACATTAGAAATCTTGTATTATCATCCCCTGCTCTATCAAGTAGAGTAGTGAGGGTTTTAAATTTTACCATGGAGTAGAATTGGATCCTAATGTATATAAATTAATATAGATTATTCATAAGGGGACACCCCGTGGGGTGCAGATGGTTAACATACTCACCTGCTAATGGAAACATTGGAGGTTCAAGCCCCACCAGAGGTACACAGCTGAGAAAAAAGGCCTGGCGGTGTACTTGCAGAAGGGCAGCCAATGAAAGCTCAGTGGTGCTATTAGAATCAACTGAGTGGCGAGTGATGTTATTGGTACGGAAGTCTCATACAGTGATTGATCAGTATGCCACCGCTTTTTGACAGGTTTCGGTGGTAGAATTCATCCAGTGTTCAGCTAGAACTTGGAGCAAGGCAGGCGCTTGATGGGCGTCAGGCTCCTTCCTGTAGCCTTCTTGGTCTCCTAGTGTGTATTTTAGTTGAGCAGTCTGTGACATGGGATATGCTGTTTTAATGCATGTTTCTTACAAGATTCCCAAGTCCTGCTGTGACTGTAGACAAAGTACTGGACTGCTTAGTGAAAGGTCGGCAATTCAAACCCACCAGCCACTCCCTGGAAACCTTCATTCCAATTGCAGCTAATGTGGTCAAACAATATTGAAATGGCCTTCATTTTGCAGGCAACTTTTGTATGACTCTGCAGTACGTCTGTCGTTAGACATGATACACACACAATACATGAAGGGAAGTCAAAAAGTATTGCTGCTAGGGTTCGTTCTTACATGTGTGGTTTCATACTAGACGTGATAGGCTTAACCATATGTCTGTGATCAGTGGATGGCTGAAGACAAGTTTTCTCAGTAATGCATTTGTCGTAGTCTCCTTGGGGTGCCTTCAGAAAACAAATACAAGATCCAGTCACAACAGTAGCTTTTGAGAGGAACTACTGGGCCAGTTCAGTTAAAGGTAAAGAAGTCAGAAGGTTATGATAACTGCTTTTTGGGATTCCAGAGGGGTCGTAGATTTTTCTCAAAGGAAGATCATTGGGACATAGACGTTTCAAGAAAATTGAAAACTGCTTTAGTGAGAGGAGGCTAGGGAAGCTGCGCTGAGGCATGGTTTCTCGTCTTTGATTGTAGTGAGGGCTGGTCTACAAGAATAGCATTGACAAACTGTACCCTGTCATTGATCTTGCCCCTTCAGATGTCTTTAGTTCCCCAAACTCAAAAAACATTTCAAAGGAACACAATTGTTGTTAGGTGTCATCAAGTCGGTGCTGACACATAGCGACCGTATGCATAACAGAAGGAAACACTGCCCAGTCCTGGGCCAACCTCACTACTGCTACCATGCTTGAGTCCATTGATGCTGAGTCCCTCCAGTCAAAGCTGCCATTTTGACCTGATATAATTGAAAAGTGCATAGTTCTTTGGAGAAGGGTTAGCGCCTTGGAAACCCCACCTTCAGATGTGCGTAGAGGAGATGTCAGGAAATAATAGCTTCACATTCTGGTATTTGTATGTTTAATAGCAGGTTCTAGGATTCTGTAGCAGTCCTTTTTGACTCACCCTTGTACTTCTTCCCTTGTTTCTTGCAATAGTAGGACAGTGGGAGGTTTTGCTTTCTGTGTTTATTTGTTGACATAAATACACTTAAGCTGTGTTTGTCATGGTGGACCAAAGTATGGGTATGTAATGTGAGCTGAAAATACCGTTATTTTTTGTTGTAGTAAAGTTCATGGAGTTATTGTACTTGTGTTGCATTTTCAAATGATATCCTTTATATTCATTTATATTAATAGTTTACCATAGTAAGACAACTAGTTAACTTTTTAATCCATTTAAAAATCCTCAGTTAACTGCAAATGCAAAGTTTTAAACAGAGGATGAAAGTAATTCCTGACTGATAGTTCTATGTCCTGTCTCCTATGTCTTATAGTCTTAAATCTGAACTTGGGTTTGACATAGGAATGTCTGATGAGTAGAGCACCTCATCTTGTTCACATTGAGATCAGAATTAGCCCTTTAAGACTGGGTTGTCCTGCATCCTCAAGAACAAGAGAAGATAGACCTGCCAAGACTGAGGGAGCACCTACATTGTGGGGCTAGGTCTTCTGATCTTTCTCCAGTTCATTGTGAACTTTTAAATATTAGCCCTCAGTTGTTTTAATATTCAAAGTTGGCTAAGAGCTTAACAGAAGGTTCTAAGATGCTAAGGAAGAAAAGCATCAAATGTATTAGGAGACACAGATTCCTTCATCAGATGCAGTTTTCAGATGTCCTAGAGGGATCCCCTTGTTTAAGTTTAAATGGAATTTTTTAGGTTCTGAAATTTGG